ATTTCATTTACATATTAACAATCACTATGTAAAATTTTAGAGTATTGGTTTTGAATTTGACCATAGTAATAGCTGCGACATGCCTATATACTGGGCACTTCGGAACATACGAGTAAAGATTTATATATTATAGCATAAAGTATAACATCCATGTAACTTCACGTGTTCGTTGTATCTTACTTATAAGTGGCAGACATGAATAAATAACATGTAAATTAAAAACTACCATTATGTTTCATATTAAGAACAGAAAATTACACTTAGCCATTTGAGCCTAACTAGAACTTGACGGAAGTACCTTTCACTGAATTATTAAAAGTAATGTCCCTTATGAGCTTTTAATACCCAATAATTAAATTACCAATGAAAATAGACGAAAGATTAACGTAATAAAATTTAATGTAAGATCATATAAAAAGTATTGTTTTTTTAATATTTGATAATCTTATTACGAATGTCTTCAGCTTTCCCAAGACGATATTTTAAAAGATGATATAAAAGTTAAAATTCATTAATTTTATAAAAGACCCTATTAAACCGACTTCAAAAAGGAGAAGCAGTGGTTCGGTATTGTTGACCTGATCTGATGGTAAGGCCAGAAGGTGGATAGGTGGAACTCTTCAACGGCTAATAGTAGATACTTTGAGTTTCGGCTTATTTTGTTTGATTTGACAAGCCTAACACGTTAGAATTCTTACTTTGCTACTACTGTCTACACTAAAAAGGGAAAAATAATTTTTTTTAACAAAAATATATAAACCGACTTCAAACAAAAGCAATAAAAAGTAAAAAATAACTGATTGGTAGTTTTTATTTACTATACATTCCTAATCAAATATTTTCGAAGTCGGTGTGCTTTGGCTAAGTAATTAAAGCCTACCTATTAAATATATACCTAATCAAATATTTTCGAAATCGGTGCCAGTCCATACAAAGCACAGCTCACCGACTTCGAAAATATTTGATTAGGTATGTATAGTAAATGAACACTACCAATCAGTTATTTTTTACTTTTTAGTGCTTTTGTTTGAAGTCGGTTTTTATTTTTTTGTTAAAAAGTTTTTATTCAAAAACATAATTTTTAAAAGGCATTAATTAATTTCTTAATCTATGCGTACATAATAAGTGTAAGACCAGCATGGTTTGTAGAATAATTATGTATGTGTGTAGACCTACGAACTTTGTAATTGACCTACTTTGGTAAAGCTCTTTAAGCTGCCTTTAATTAAGTAGTAGTATAGCCAATTACAATACCTATAACTTACTATAAAGCCATTTTAGGAGAGGAGGCAAGTAGCACTCACAATAGATATTTCTATATAATCTTATATATAAAATTTCCATGTCACAATGTTTGTTACCGTACTCCTCCGAAACGGCTTTACCGATTTTTACCAAATTTTATATGTGTATTCAGTAGGTCTGAGAATCGGCTACTATCTATTTTTCATACCCCTAGTGATAAGGATAAGGGTGGTCCTCCCAGACCCCACCCCAGGGACGAACCCGAGCGGAGCGAGGGTGAGTCGCTAGTATAATAATATAATTATCACAATAGATATTTCATTTTTGTTAAATTCCATTGCATCATTGTTATGTTTTTTATGAGAAATCAATGAATTTATATACCTATTTGGTGACCCCGTAAAATTTTAATTATTTATTTATATGTGGTAATTACATGGGATATACATGTTTTAAGACTTGCAAAATAAAAATAAATTGTCCTATACCTCTAAACCCGGTCCTGGCTAAATATAGATATTTTCCATATAAATGACTTCAACGACTGTGCTGCCTGCTATTAAACAATAAATAATTGCCTTAAACTTCATTATTGCAGCCACAAACAACCACTTGGTACTATTAAACATTTAATAATCGTATTGAAAACTAAGGTTAGGTTATTATCGGTGATCGATAACTAAGTACCGTATAATATAATAGACATTCAAGTGATTCATAATAAATGTTACAGATCTTGTTGGCTTTTATTTTTGCAATAAGCTACTACCTACTGACATATAAAATGAACACATTTTTGATAAGCACTTCGTTGATATTTAAGAAGTAGGTAACATTCATATTAAGTATGTATTTTTGCAATAGATGCATACATATGTATGTATATATTTTTAGCGATTTAAATCGGAGAATCATAAAGTTACAATTTTCTCAAAAGATTATACAATTTTTCTCAAAAGATTATCAATGTATACACCGTAAGAACTTAGTCTAAACATATAGGTTTTAGAATTTTTTTAATTTATTTTTAACCCCTGACGCAAAAGGAAACGTGTTATAAGTTTGACATCGATGTCTGTCTGTCTGTGTGTGTGTGTCTGCCTGTGGCATCGTAGCTTTTAAACGGATGGACCGATTTCGATGCGGTTTTTTTCATTTGAACGCCAGTTTCCTTACGGTGGTTCTTAGCTATGTTTGGTTAATATCGGTCCAGCAGTGTAAGAGTATCAGCTCTTTTCCAAAATGATGTAAGGCATTTTGGCATGATTACTCGATTAAGTGCTTCACGCGTGTCAGAGTAATCGTTAAGTGACAATTAATTTGCGTAAGTGGGTATTCTACTGAAAAAGCTTAAACTTTCCTCTTGAGAATATGCTTAAAAGTTAGAGCGTCGTATTTATTATTTATTGAAATGTGACGTCATCAGCTCAAAATGTCACGTGACCGACTGTTATAGGACGACATGTCAAAGTAATTAATAAAAAAATTGTTCTTATATATTTTAAAACACTTTTTCGACTAAAAGAAAAGAGTGGTATAAAATGAATATTTGCACATTTTAAAACACTTTTCCGAAAACTGTCAAGTAGCCAATTACGTAAAAACCATACGTATATATCTATAAATACTAGCGGCTCACCCTCGCTCGAGTTCGCCTCTAGGAAAACAAAAACAAACCTACCCACGAGAATCGTACATTTTTCCGGGATAAAAAGTAGCCTATGTGTTATTCCAGACTGTAAACTATATCTATGACAAATTTCATCCCGATATACAGATATGGCACAAACGATATACATACTTGTATTTTTTATATTCTACTCGAATTAATCAACATTAAGCAAAATATTAATTATAAAGGCTTAACCGACATTCTACAATTGCGATCCCTAATAGTTCCTACACTGAAAAAATATTTGAGCACAATCAAAATTGTTCTCTATCTCTCAATTAAAATCTCGTCTGTCTATTATAAAAAAAAAACTATTGTCAGTCAACTAAATTAATAAGAATCGGTTCTCCAAAAAAGTTTATCATGCCAAAACACGTTACCAAGATCCAAGAACAAATAATATAATTTAATACACATCCATACTTCCATAATTTTAATAATATAAATGTGAAAGTTTGTTTGCTTGTTTGTTTGTTTGTCCTTCTTTTACGTGGAAACAGTGTGATGGATCGGCGTAATTTTGTGTGGAGATAGTTGAAGGGTTGAAGAGTGACATAGGCTACTTTTTACCGCGGGAGATTATCTCATTCCCACGGGAATACACGTTATACAACACAAAATATATATGATCAGAATTTCTTGAAACTTGATATAAATGCTCTTTAATACATGAAATAAATACTTATTTTAGCATTTTTCGAAATTCATCCCATAAGGGGGTAAAATATGGGATGAAAGTTTGTTCGAAACCTATCTTTTTAGTGTTTTTATAGTTTAAGCAAAGCCGCGGGTTCTGCTAGTTCAGAATAAATTGATAAAAAAACATTTTTTCACTTACGTCGTCTTAAATATGTCTAATTTTAGGGCGAATATTCACACCATATTTAGGGCGCGTCATGCAACGATATTGCTGAGACTCGATTAGTTATTTCAGGTCAAATTCGTTCGAATAACTTACGCTACATTCAACTATTCTCACATTCAAACTGTAATCATTGCATAACACATATAAAACAAACCGTCATTCTTCTCGTATTTCATAGTTTGTCCTATGTAGCTATTGTCTGTTTGTCTTTATAACGAAGTACATACATACTTTGTATATGTAATAAAATTATATTGTTATCACGAGTATTCTTACTCAACAATTATTATTAATAATTATAATATTAATAATCTATTAATAAAAAATATTGTTAATTATACAATATTATACAAATATAGATACATTTTGTTTCTCTCCTATTTAATTTTATCACATAGCGTAATAAATAATATAAATTGCTGCGGTGCATAAAATTAATCTAATTTTATTTGATTTATACCCTATAGATATTTCTATTAGCTAAGTTTTACTTACAATTATTTTCGTTACTTTATTTATTTACTTTTGGTTAAACTGAAACAAAAAATGTCCAGCTCCCCGCACTATACGAGTTACGTTTACGATTAACAATTGTGACCTTAGACTAGTACTCAGATCAAAATAATCCATTAGCCTTCAGTTACGACTTAAAAGGACAATCACGAGTGTGTCAAGCCGCAGGTAAAAGTTAGCCATAATTCACAAAGCAGAATTTAATATTTACTTGTGATCGATCGATCTGTCTCAATATGTCAATATAATTTAATACATTTAACGTAAAACCAAGATTGTTATGATTTACAAAATATGTATATGTTGATAGCATTAATTCAATAGAATTGTGTTGTTACACTGACTTTAAAATATTACTAGAATTGCAACTAGAGGTGTACCTACAACTACCTACTCACTAAATTGGGGTTAACCATTTTAAAGATAATCCGTATTAATATTATAAATGTGAAAGTTTGTGAGTATGGATGTTTGTTACTCTTTCACGCAAGAACGACAGAACGAATCTGAATGTTTGGCACAGAGATAGATTATAGTCTGGAATAACACATGGGCTACTTTTTATCCCGGAAAAATGTACGGTTTCCGTGGGATAGATTTGATTTTGTTTCCCCAGTAAATAATAAATCAAAATAGTACTGAAAATTGATAACATAAATTACTTAAAAAACTATTAAGCTTAGATTTTCTAATTATTAAACTTACCAAACGATCAGTTGCCATATCAAAGATGAGGATCTTAGGAGGACAAACGCGGCGGAAGTCGTCAAGACTTGTGAGAACTCCGGAGTCCAGTACCCATAGGCGGTTGCAGCGGTCAGCTCGAATGCGGTACACGGATATGAGCCCCGTGCAGTTGACGTCGCCGCGACCGGCCGTGTGCCATGACCAGTCAGGGTATGCCTGTCAAGATAGAGAAATAAATTATTAATATATCCAAGAAGTTATAGAACAATATTTATTTCACAGCCTTCCGAGCTAATGGTAGATTCCTCACGGACTTTGTACATACTGGCATTTAATAAAAAAATTTAAAATGAAAAATGTAACGATTCAATAGTGCTTGTAAGAGCCTATTTAAATAAAATATGTTTTGGTTTGATTTAATTTGATAGATATTAGATACTATATTCAACAAATTCAACAGGTTTATGAGTATCATAAAATTATAGTAATATCTCATGTTATATACACACTACCATTATTAATTAAGTTAAATTAAGTTCACCAACTCTACCATATGTAAACATGGAGTAATATTACACGAACGATTTATCACAATCTATTAGATCTAATAATATTTAACAAGGAGACTTGCAATCAATAGTTATAAAGGTAATATGAAACTATATAATTTACAACATAAATTTTAATCAAATAGAAATCAGAGTTCATACTCTGTATACACTAAATGTAAAATATTTATGCACTAGAATAAAACAACTTGAAAAAGAGCAAAACATGCATCATTCAATACCAGTTCACAACAAAGTTCATGTTGAATACAAATTAGTGAACAGAACAAAGAAAATCGATGGAGGAATTTCAATAATCGTGTGAAATACGATAAGTCTATTTTAAATAGAGATACAAGAAAGATTGCGAATGTACTTGAACGGAATTAAATGTAATAAGTTCTCAGTGCGGTTTGACTTTTAATTTGGAATAAATTCTACTTCGCTAGTAAATAAAGCTACTTAAATATTGATGTACTTAATATACATAACGAATAGCACTATCATACAAATATACTAATATGCTGACATAAAAAAAAATACCTAAAAAAGATATTTAGAATTTTGTAATATTTCAAAACTCAATTTCAAATAGTTTAAAACAACATTTTTTGTATTTCTATATCTGAAGCAGCCTACACTTTAATAAGGTACACATATTTTATAACTGGTGCTATTTAGCCAGTGTTAATGCACATAAAAACATGCCATAACTTTATTACCAAAGTGGTTATTATCTCAATACAGTACCAAGGTACTTAAAACTAGTACGAACAGAGAAATTCCTTAACGCTATATTATGGCATACACAATGCACTACAACAGCGTCTACGCATTACTCATAGGAATAAATCGTAATTGTCGCTGACTAAATAAAACAGAAATTCAATGGAGTCCGTCAAGGTTACATCTCAGTTCCTGGCCTTCACGCTTTCTCGCGGTAATATTATGAACTGCCTACTTCGCGTATAAGTCAGCATGCGCGTACGCCGCGAGGTCACACTTTGCAAATGATTACTTACCTAACCGTGAAAAAGTGATAAGAATATTTTCAGGTCATAGAGTTTTATCATCACGAATTATCTAACAATAATATAACAAAAGTTTAATAATAAATACAAAACACAAAATCACTTATAGCATAGTATAATATTAGTATGAAAGTGATCTAGGATAGTAGGTGAATATCAAAACAATGTTATAATAACAGCGAACAACTGCGAACGTTTACGTAACAACAGTACGCCTTTATAAAGAATTTCAACGAACACTACGTTCGAAACGTATTCACGATTACATTTTAAGCTAGAAAAAATGTACATACCTACCAGTAGTTTTTCCTAAACAAGTATTATCTTTTAACAAAAACCATATATTGAATTATTAAATAAAGTTTATATTATACATATAGTCTAAACTACAAGCTTTTTACTGTCCTGTATGTAACTAAAAGTACTCAAATGTATTTTAAGAGTTGTGATCTGATCCATTATAGTTAGAACCTAGTTTTTAATAAATACTGAACACTATATGACGCCACGTTTGGCTCACTTTGTAATGACCATACTTGCTGTGCCAGCGGTCGCGGGTTCGAGTCCCGCTGGGGGGCATTCATTTGTGTGATGAGCACGAATGTTTGTACTCCAGTCATGAGTGTTTATATTTATAACATGTGTGTATATATGTAACTTTATAACATCTGTGTATTCAAAGTTACATATATATATATGTGTAGTGTATCAACTATCTGGCTTCCATAACTCAAGCCTGGTAGCTTACCATGGAACTAGATGGTGCTGTGGGTTGATGTTCCAACATATTTATTTATTTTATATCTTTTAAACAATTGTAACCTTAAAACCGTTTATACGTTCCGGTAGAATAATGGTAATTACCAAAATCACAATGCACAGAGTGACCGCATTATTGAAAGTAAAGTGGTGCAATAGTCAGCCTGTATTCGTTTAGACTTTAGATACATAAATTAAAATATATAGGTACATTTATTTTGACACTATTTAAATTTCGTGACTGGAATTGACTCAATAGTGAATGTTATTAAGATAAAAGATTCATGACATGATAAGGAACGGTTCAAGTTATAAAGAATAGTACATTTTTATTACACATATATGGATTTGAATGAAATTCGTCAAAGATTATATAACTTACGAGTATATGTTGATACTCTTTATCGCTGTGATCCTTTCACGAAAGCGGAGCCACGGTCAAGTAAGCGTATAATATAAAAGAACCAATACCTGAAGGACAGGACTAACGCCAGGCGGCAGTGAACGAGGAATCCAAGCTAAGCTGGCCGGCACGCCCGCGCGAAGTCGCGGGATTCCTATGTATATTCGATCCCATCCAACTTCCAGTCCAGCAGGCACTGTATTTTCAGGTTGGAACTTTTCTAGCAACACTGGATCCGGTGGAAAGTCAAATTGCAGTAAACTCCATTGGTTTACCACTTCCAGGGACGCTCTCGCTGCTGCGAGGCAGGCCAAAAGTATTAATATCCGTGGTCCCATCAGAAGCTGCAAAACACAAATAATGAATTCATATAGAAATATTTTAAGACCCTTAAAAATACTTCTATGTAAATAAAAATGTTACTGACAGAAAATAGGAAGTTTATGCATTTACATAATATAGGTATACAAAGAATGGCAATGACCTGACAAACTGTTTAAACATTACAAGCTAGTGCGTATAGCAAGGTCACTTCTAACACTGAGCAATACCGTATGCATTAAACCATATATAGAAAACGAAAGGAATGAAAGTTTGTATTATATATAATATGTTATAATGGCCAAATGATAATTTAAGTAATATTAAAATAATAAAATCAATAAATATTAAAATAGATAAAGAATTTAAATAAAACTATCTTTTCGGATTATTTCGCGGATTTATTTTGATTTTTGGTTCCCGACGTTTCGAATGCTTTACAGCATTCATGGTCACGGGAGAGACTCCAGTCAGTCAGTCTCTCCCGTGACCATGGATGCTGTAAAGCTTTCGAAACGTCGAGAACCAAAAATCAAAATAAATCCGCGAAATAATCCGAAAAGATAGTTTTATTTAATAATGTCAAACATTCGCGTAAATCTAAGAAAGTATTAAAGAATTTAAATACAAATATTAAGCCTTTAATGAATTTAATTTATGTGATATATACTCTACCTAATTATAGTTTCAACAGCTTTAAATGAAAATCTATTGCATTATATTCGCTCAAGGGCTCAATTTTGAGCAATTTATGTGAATAAGTTTTTATTACGAACAATGCCGTTTCTGTCTACGACAGTGTATCTCTGTACACTGTCGTAGTACACAGAGACGCAATATACCTAAGCTATTTATATGTCACCGAGGTATTCAAACTGTCAGTCAACTTAAGCAATTGTTATTACTGATTTGTTCCCAACATAATAGTACATATGCCATTCAATATAAACTTCAAATATAAAATATATATCACTCCCAGCTTACTCTCCCTTTAGTAAAATCTCTTGCATTTATAGAATGAACTGAAAAATCTAGAAAATCAGTAGAGTGAATCAAAAAATCAAGAAAATGTTTGAATATAAAGCCAGTGTCATTTGTTAGGAGAAACAAAAATTTATAAATGTAAAATATTATTATACTTCATAATATTAGTACAATGTATTTGTAATCATATAATTTAGATTTTATTAGAATATTTTACACTTATTTCTGTAAAACAAAATACGATAGAAGGTAGTGAAACGATTTTGTTATAAATAGGTTTGTTAAGCAAGTATCCATACTAATATTATAAATGTGAAAGTGTGTTTGTTTGTTTGTCTGTCTGTCCTTTTTTCACGTCGAAAGGGTGGATTTTTTGTATGGAGCCAGTTGGAGGGCTGGAGAGTGACATAGGCTACTTTTTATCGCGGTAGATATAATTCCCACGGGAAAACACGTTATAATACAATCCAATAAAATATTTATGATCAGAATTACTTGAAACTTGGTATTAATGCTTTTTAATAAAATTAAATAAATACGTGTTTTAGCATTTTTCAAAATTCATCTTATAAGAGGGGTAAATAGGGGATGAAAATTTGTATGAAACTACACCTTTTTAGATTTTTTTTTGTAGTTATAGCGCGCGCAAAGCCGCGGGTTCTGTTAGTAATAAAATATATTAAATTACTAGCAATACCAAAGTATAAATTAAATATGGAAATTGTTAATGTTCTATAGTAGAATGTACATTGTACACTAAGCACTAGCAGTGGACTACAAGGCCGAACACCAATCACCGATTGCTTTAGGTCGATCAAATGTCGAACAAAAACTTTAATTGAAATATAGGTTAGCTTTCCGCAAAGGGTAAATACATGCTTTTAAGCACACTACCAATAATACTTTCTTAGGTTTACACCGTGTCCCGTCTCTGACGATGACTGCTGTAAAGCATTCGAAACGTCGGGAACTAAAAATCAAAAGAAAACCGCTGTAAAAACAGAAAAGATAGTTTTGTTTAAGACGCTACTAACTAATATTTCCAAATAAATTAAAATTAAACATTTCATTCTAAATCTATTTTTAATATATTTTTCCAAAGTTTAAGTTAACTAAAATGATGTTTTATAGATTATAGATACGTATAAGTACGTGCAAGTACAAATTAGCGAAAAAAGAGTTCGTAACCCAGCGGCAGCAGACATGCTCATACATTTATTATTTTATTGCCAAAAGATGTGAAAGGATAGCGTTATAAAACTATAATAAAAAAAAGACAGCTACTGTTTGTCACTTAAGTAAGTTTTCATTGAATTACGTAATCATGGCGTCTTCATTTGTTTACAGAAGGTTACTACCAAATAAAATATTATAATTTCGGCATACTACCTGTGGTATATGATGGCGTATACTTTGTTTATTTTTCTTGGATAATAATTAATTAGTGCATTTACGAATGCACACGACGTCATTTTAGTTAGAAAAACGAATGATGTGCACCGGTTAGCGAAGTGAGAAGCACGTGCGTATTCTTTACATACTCGAAAGCATCGGAGGCCAATGGAGGTTATAGCCTCCATTTGTGCGCTTCCCTTTTAGAGCGCTAGTAACGTATGTATACGTATACTCTTTATAGTATAACATTGCTCATAAACAGTCGAATTTCAAAAGTCTGCACCATGTCCTTAGTGCAATGATTGCACATAGAGGATATATTAACAAGGTTACAAGATACAAATATTTCATAAGCAATATTGTTAAAAACAAATTTTGTAATTCTATGCGAATTTTGTAATTCTATGTTCTGATGATACTTAGATTTAACTTTTTTTTATTTTTTAAATAGGGAAAAGTTTTTTTTCTACATACAGAAATATACCTCAGATATTTATAATATTATACGTAGCATGCAGCTTCATACACTTTAGTCGATTTCTGTTTAGTTTTACATATTTTGTGCCATCAAAGTATGATATTTATAACATACCATCACACTTATCAAACTATCACGCTAATTATTATTAATTAATTATCATATATATTTTTTAAATTAGTCAAATAGTTTATAATAGCATATTTTTTAGTTCTTTAAGTTTAACTGTTCAACGATTTCCATTCAAATTCGGAATGGCCGTTACTAAATCTTGGAATCATAAAATGCGAGCGGAGACACGGGCAAAATCGGTACAGTCTACATATATAATAAAAATGAAATGCTGTTCGTTGGTTAATGTGCATTGCAGCATTCGAACCGATTTAGTTTTTTATAAAAATGTTTGCACTCGTCTTAATGGGAAAAAGTTGGAAAAGCCAGCTAACAAATTGAGAAATTCTAGAAATCTGAATCTTGGACAGGATAAAGTCCGCCTGGTTTTCAGCAGGTTTGTAAACTTTTATGTGCCTTTAGTACTGTTACAATTAAGGATCTTTCGTGATGATCCTATATAGGTAGCTTTGCAAGGCGACTTAGCAAAAAAACAGCTTGACACCAAATTACTATAATGAATACTGAGAAGCAATTCCTTGATCCTAGCGCAACTGGTGTGATACTTTAGTTACCTATTGTTACAATATAAAAATACCTAAACGTGCAGATCTTACGGAAACGGTCTAAATGTAATACTTAAGTCTAATTAGGAAGTCTAAGCTGGTACAAATAGATTGCGCAAAGAGAAAAGTGTACCTCAACAGGTTTTTCCTGATTAAGATAAAAAAATAAGTTATGAAAGTGTTACAGCTTTTTTTTAATTTTTATTAATTTATTTATTATTAGCAACATGCTTTACGTATCTAATTTTTTTTTATTATTCAGCCCACTTTAGAGTCCCACTGCTGGGTTCACGACTCTCCTAAATACGAGAGAGTCAGGACATACTCGTAATCCACCACGCTGGCCTAGTGCGGGTTGGCGAACTTCACATGTCTTTCTAAAAGTAGTTATTTTTTTATTTGTTACATATAAATATCACATATATGAGACACCCTTTTTTTAAAATTTTAAATAAGTAGTATCAAATAAGTAACAAATAGTGTTTTGAATTGAATGGAACTATTCATTCAAGTTGAGAATTTTGTGTAAATCCAAACGAAATTACACTTCATACTTGGTCAAATATCAGTGTAATTAGAACTATGTCTATTAATTATAGTTGGGTAACATCTAGATATTGTTATCGTTGTAGACACTAACTATGTCCAGTTTTCTGTTATTTACAAATATTCTCCTTGACAAATCATGTAAATATCGAGACTGTTAATTCGTGTATTTATCATATAACTAAATAAATATGTATTTGCATCAAACTCTATAGATAAATTATATATAAACAATTTAATAGATAAAATTTCAGTATGCATTTTGAGTGTCGGTAACCGGTCACAACACCGTACTTTGTCTCAACTAAACAGGGAGATATTATAAGGTTCCCACATTTTGAACGTTCTTAAGGTTGCCTAAACAATAGAGCATCTACAAGGTATATAACAATATCTATGTACACTGTACAGTAGGTATATATCTGATAGGCTATTATATACAATAGGCTATTGCCTATGTTATTACATAGCCACATTCTAGAAGTGTTGAAACAATCCATATATCATACTTAGCTTTAACATCAAGTTGTCTTTATTTAAAGTGTTTAAATCATTACAATAATATCTATATTATACATTATTATTAGTGTTGATTAATATCTCAGTAAAAAAATCATGTAAGATAAATTGACAAATTATTTTGTCACTTTAACATAAAAATGGCGGCGCGTTTGATTACTTATGACTGATGAGTGGACAAAACGTAAAATGACTTTAAAAATGATAAATCGACTTTGTTTTGCTACTTAAATTATAAGTTTTTTGTAAAATATATCATAAATGTAGCGACATTTCAAAGTTTGTAATAATTAAAACATATTAACCCAAAAGAAACTTGAACCATGTAGGGGCATGTACCTATATTATATAATGAGACAATGCGGAACTTACATACTCGTATCTTTAAGCTTTAATGCAAGATTTTTTTATACCAGAA